TCCGGACTTCATCCCATTGCTCTTGCAGTTTTCTCTGCATCTCTGTCAGCATGTTCATGATTTTTATTTTGAATTCTTTTTCAGGAGGACTGGTTAGGTCTGTCTCCTTCTCAGGTGTTGTCTCTGTGATGTTTGTCTGCCTGTAGTTTTACCTTTTCATGGTGATAGAGATAGTGTGCAGAGCTGGTAGGAGTGACCACTGGAAGAGCTTCCCTTCTTGTTGGTTTGTGGCCTTCCTCTCCTGGGAGAATAGCGACTTCTAGTGGCTTATGCTGGGCAGCTGTGTGCAGACAGGGCTTCTGCTACCTGCCCGGTTGCTATGGAGTTTATCTCTGCTCTTGCTGTGGGCGTGGCCTGGCTGGGGCTGCGCCTCCAAAATGGTGGAGCCCCATTGGAGGGGGAGCTGCTGGGAGACTATTTATCTCCGGAAGGGGCCTCTGTGCTCTCTGTTGTCCTTTGGCAGTTTTACAAGGTGGCTTATTATTAATTTTTACTTTTACATAGGACAAAATTGAAGCTTTCTCAGATTAAATGTACCCAGGACCACACAGATAGCAAGCCTATAAGGTTTGATTTGAAATAGAATACTTGGAAGCTCTCCTCCTCTGCAAAGTAATGATTTTCCATTTCTCTTCTATTCACTATCCTTAGGGTATACAGTCTTTATAGAAAGATACTGCAAGTCCTTAGGGGAAAACACCAAGGCATGCATGCATTTAATAACAGAATAAGAAAGGCATTTTTCATAATTCATATAACTCTGAAGTTAAAAATTCCAAAGGATATTCTTTATTTTAATAAAAACTGTTTTGAAATATATTAACTATATGACATATTACCAGACTAGACCTCCTTTTACAGTCATTTTACTTTGATTCCATCTGTGCTTTTTGTTCACTGTGGCATAAACTTCTGGAAAATTATGCCACTGTGTACAGGTCTCAACATAAGAGTAGGCTTTGTCTTTAATCAAAGGATTAGGAAAAAAATTCTCCTTGAAATTTAACACAAGTCCATTCAGATCTTTACTACCTATACAATTCATATGCATACATTCCTACTTCAACCTTTAATCAGAGGGCATAAATTCAGTTAAAAGAGCCAAAATACTTTCAAACACAAGGGAGACTTTTAAAGAAACTGTAAAATACATTTGAACTTGGTGTCCATTATTGACAGAAAAGATAGGCAACACATGTAGATATATACCAAGCAGTGGATATAATGCACACCAAGAAATGTGAGCGGATTGAAAACATAGTGCATAGGAGGAAACAGAATCAAAATAAATTAAAGAACCTATTTTTGTAAATTAAAACCAGTGTACACACAGTAAGACACTTTCTCTAACAATAAAAATTTAAAACATATATTTTGAAAGTTTTAAGTATATATGCTTATATACACACACACGAACACGTCTGACTGTTGGAAGGGTTAGGAAGATAGAAATGAGGTGTAGGGATGAAGGGAAACAGTCTACCAGTCAATCAGTGAGGCTTCTTGCCTGGAAAAGACATGACTGTGCTACAAACCAGCAAACATAATTGATTTAACATTGAAATCTTATAAAAATAAAATAACAAGTGAAATCATTTGGTACTTGTCCTTCTCCACCTGACTTATTTCACTGAGCATAATACCCTCTAGCTCCATCCATGTTGCTGCGAATTTCACTCATTTGTGGAGTGTAAGAACAAAGGAAAACTGAAGGAACAAAACAGCAGCAGAATCACAGAACCCAAGAAAGGACTAATAGTTACCAAAGGGAAAGGGACTGGGGATGATGGGTGGGAAGGGAGGGATAAGGGTGGGGAAAAAAAAGAGGGCATTACGATTAGCATGTATAGTGCGTGGGGGGCACGGGGAGGGCTGTGCAACACAGAGAAGACAAGTAGTGATTTTACAGCATCTTACTACACAGATGGACAGTGACTGTGAAGAGG